CCCATATTTATATACCAAACAAGGTTAATTATTTTTCAATTTATTCCTTTCTTTTGAGATGTAACTTGTGCTCCCTGGGGCAAAGTGAACAACCCCCCCCCCACCCAGATTTTAATAAATTTAGAAAATCTTTCACCGGATTGTAGTCCTTTCCACTCCCAAACTAAGATATTTGCACTTCATATAGTTCGTTCTTATTTGTAGGAGTTATAAGTGGATTAGTGAATGCTATTTGGCTATGGAAGTGCGCTGCACTGATTGGCTTAAACTGCATTTTTTAAATTAGAATTATATTTAAAGATTAGAATTATCACGTTATATTTTAAAATAAAAGTATATATTTGGAATAAAAAGGCAACACTTTTTAAAAGTTAGAATATTTAAAGCTAAAATGTTTGTGTGTTTTATTAACAATTCAAAAAGCAATCAATAGTATTTATTAAGTTTACTTTTAAAAGGGAAAATACATTATCAGTTTTGTCAAGCATGGTTATTAAATTTAAAGAAACCTAAGAGTTTTGGAGAAATAAGTTTTCACGCTAAGACGTCATTGCCATGATTATTGAGAATAAGTTAATTTGAATTTTATTTCGCAATATTAAAAACGCACTAAAAGACGCACTAAAAACTACTGATGTCTGGGTTTTTCTGATAAATGTGATTACGGTGTAATTCTTTAAGCATTTTTTTATTTTTTTAAAAAATGTTTTCATATCTTTCAAACACATATAAAAGGCTTAAAATAGTTCATTAGATGATACTTTAAATTCATTTGAAATTTATAATAATAATATTTTAACTTTTAATAACATAAAATCGGATTTAAAATATTTTTTTTTGCCCATTTAAATTTATTCTATTCCCCTTAAAACATTAGAAAATAACTAAGATTTTTATAGGAATCCGAATGTACTTAAAAAGTATCTCCCTTTTGGCGTTATATGAACCTAGCTCATTTTTATATATATATTATTATTATTGTTCACCTTCGCACGAGAAGATGATCAATGCAATTTTTGACTTGAGCTGTATATTGTTTAATTAGGGATAGTTGCTCATTTTGTCAGTTGCACTCTTTCGTCTTTGCCTTTTTGATTCTATGCCATGACATTGTCAAGACGATTGGAAACAGACCAGGATACAATAGATGACCAAAGGTGTGTCTAATGCAGGGGTCTCAAACTCAAATCAACTTGGTGACGCAGGAGGTAGTGTCTGAGTGAAACTGGGCCATAACAAGTAAAAAAAAAAGCGATCACAAATTCAATAAAGAACAACTGGTACTCACTGAAGTATATGCTCAGACTTTATTGATAACAAAACAAAAAATTAAGGATTCTCAAGAACTTGGCTTCACTTTCTTCCTCCTACTCACTGTTTCCAGAGGCCTGGCAACGCTGTTTCTTACACAGCTGAGCAAAATTTGGCTTGCGTGAGGAAGCAACTAAGACCCTCAGTATAACTTGAAGATGCTCATGATTACATTTGGCCTTGAAATTTTACTTGTTAAAGTGCATAGTGGAAAAGAGCTTTTAACACAGATAGGTACTCCAAAAAAGGCACATGATCCGCTTGAGCAGCCTGGAAAATTCAATCAGGGCTGGAGAGCACTACTCTCATAAATTATCTATGCTTGTTTGTTTCTCCATTCACTCCCTGAACTTAGAATTGCACTGAAGATCAATCAGCTCCATTTGAAGTGGAAGTAGTGGGTAGTGGTGGAGCGCATCTTCCACGTTGTCAAATTCTTCATGTTTCTTTGCAATGGCATTAGTTATACTTACTTCTGAATGGTGTTCCCAAATCCATTAGTACTTTTCATGTTACAATGGCAGAGGTTTCTCTAAGAATCACAGCACAATGTTTGTGCAAAATTCCCTGATATTGTCATAGGCAACACTGACACGTTACCTCTAGTCTTGTAAATTCTTGTTGAATACATTAAGCTTCTGTGTAATGTTAACAAGAAAAGCCAAGTCCTTGACCTATTTGGGATCACTTAGTACAGGAAAAACCACTCCATCCTTCTTCATGTAGGTTTAAAATGCTAAAATATGTTCAGTCAGTTGGCAGGTGCAGGTAATATTTAGGAATTACTGATGCGAAGGAAGATGCTATTGTAGGGAGTATGAATTTTGATTTTTTTTTTAAATCTTAGTTTGTCTTCACTTATGTTGAAATGGAATATAGCCCACATGCTTGGAATTTCCTCACTCGTTAACAGTAGGGACAATTTTAATAAGGATTCTTTGATACTGTGTCAGATTGCTATGATTTACACACTTATGGTTGTGCATTACCCACTAATTGAACTTTGAAACGTTTCTTAAAAACTGCACATTGGCCATGTTTGTCTCATAAGATGCTACAAATTTAAAAGTTTGGTCCCGTTTTAAAACGGTTTTAAACATTTGAATCAACGTCCACATAAATACAAACATTGAAAAAATCAGAATTAAACTAGTGAGTTAGATTAGACTGAAACCGTCGCGGAGGGATACATTTTAGATAATGAAAACACTCGCGGGCCGCATTACGCTAAACTTTTCTGTCATGTGCCGGGCCGCAAAATATCGTCTTGCGGGCTTCAAGTTTGAGACCCTTGGTCTAATGTGTTTTAATTTTCTCTTTATTCATTCTACGACAATGGAATTTTCGGAATTTTCATATATGTTAATGTCACATCGCCTACTTAGTGATGTTTTTTCTTTTGTTGGGGATTGAACTCCAGCTTAGGATTGACTGCAGTTTAGACCACTCCACCACTTAAGTAGTATATCATGTATTAAGTGGATAATAAAATGATTTTTAATACCAAAGGTAATACAAAAGAAACTGGTATGATATTCATTGTTGTAAGTATGAACGCTGTTGGGTCCTTGAGTTGGTTATGATTTTTATTATTGCGTCTGAATGATCATTGGATGGCAGGAATAGAATAATAAACAAGTGTGGATGAAAGGCGTGAGATTGAGAGAGTGGAAGAGAGAAAAAGAGTTGATTTAGGACATAGTCATGAGACGTTAAACGTTAAGCTCCTGACTTTTGGAAAGACTGTGTAGAGAAAAACGAGATATTTTAACCAGGTGAATCTGCATGATATATACATGGACAAAGGAAGAACCCTAGACATTCATATAGTGTTTTTGTCATTGTTATTTTAAGTTATAAAGAATAAATGGTGTTCAAAAGGGACAAATTTTAGTATCGACATTGGAAATATCAACAACAATAAATTCGTTTCACGGAAAAATGAAGCTACTCTACTTCGAATCACATCACACAAATTTTTATTTCTATTTAAACTTCCATATTATAATCGTCTTTTATTTGAGAATGTTATTAACAAAAGCCGGATACATGTCTGCGTTTTCTGTTCCCTCTACAACAGGCCTGCACAACTCAAAATACTGTATGAAAAATTTTTTGGGGCCAAAAGATTAAAGGACATTTTGGGAAAGCTATTAAGAAAATAATAATAATAAAGAATACTTCGTTACTTCGTGGGCTGCCAAGTGGGTGCTGGCGTGCCGCATGTGAACCATTTGTTGTGCAGGCCTGCTCTACACAATTATTATCCATCTCCAAATTTGAATCGCATCAAACACTCTGGCCAGTCCTCGCAAGTTCTAACACAGTGCATACTAAGCACAATAATATTAAGTATATTACTTGGCTCCCATTAATGGCTCACACATTCATCATGATATTTAATATTATTTACTGAATACCATAGTTACTGAATTTAAACGTTACCCTTTATCTTTCAATTTCTCTCCAGCTCTAATTACGTTTGTCAAAACAAAACAAACAAAAATTTAAAAATCGAAACTTCCGCGGGATTCTAACCCCTATGTCGAGCTTACGGCTCCCTTAGACATGCCTTAAAATTGATAGGTTTTAATATTTTGCTATGGAAATAGCCATAAACTTCAGGTGTAAAATAGTCCCTGAACCGATGTGGCTAGAGATTGAGGGGGGGGGGGACGATGCTGTTTAAATTCACTCGTAATTTTGCAAGCAATAGTTGTGTTTTACAGTGCAACTTGAGTGTTAGTTTGTTTATAAAATGATATTTTATTTTTGCAATGGAAATAGGCATAAACTTCAGGGGTAAAATAGTCCCTGAACCGATGTGGCTAGAGATTGAGGGGGGGGGGGACGATGCTGTTTAAATTCACTCGTAATTTTGCAAGCAATAGTTGTGTTTTACAGTGCAACTTGAGTGTTAGTTTTGTTATAAAATGATATTTTAAAATAGTGTTTCTGTAACGGTGTACATTTGCTTGTCTTAAGTATATGTGGTCGGTCAGCAGTTGTACGCTGGCTTTTGAGTGAATTGAATGTGATTATCAATGTACGCTGTAGGTTTGTACTTATTGTAAGGATAAGATGAAAAATTAAATAACATGGATTAAATTTAACGTTGTTCATTTGAGGACGCATGCACATTTCCCTCTAGTCTACTTAATTTAAAATGATTAAATTTTGTTTTTATTCGTTTCACTACTAACTCAAAATAAACACCCAACTTTAAATGAAGGGGCGCAAAACAGAAAAGCGGAAGCGTTTTAAAAAAAATATATATATATACCCGGTATATTTAAAGAAAAATATTTTGTTACAAATATTTTAGGGCCCACTGTCCATTTAATGTTCATTTCGGCTCATTGTTTGAATTTAGAGGTGGGTTCTTAGATAAATCGCCGTCCAAGACTAACGAGTTCAATACATCCGGGGTGCTTGCCATGTTAGGCTTTGTGGGGGGAAAACTCCAGACCAACAGCTATTTAGGTTTGAGTCATTTTAGACCGAAATTTCTAAAAAATTAACGCGATTATGTTTCTACACATTTAACGAAAGAACTACATTGTGATCTGAGAACACTTACGTTTTTTTATTTAAACTTGTGTAATATTTCTTGTTTTTTAATATCTGCTGAAGAAGGCAGTTAGCCAAACTTCGCTTTAATTGCCCTGTCTTTTTTTTTTAAAATCTAAACATATATTTTCCTATTATTTATGTACTTGACACAGATTAAACGCACTCTTCCATGTATTATTCTTTGCAATGATATAACACAGTTATACATCACATTAAAGTAAGAAATGCATTTTAATTCAACGTACAATGCTACTAAGATTTTCATCATTATATGCAAGAAACAGAACAAAAGCAATGCAATTCATCAATACTTCATTAAATATTGTCGAAGTGTAGGACTGCTCCATACTCTGGCGAAGACGGAATGATGCCATATAAAACACATTAAACACATCGCGTTAAAGTAAGAGATGCATTTTAATTAAACCTACGATGTGTCTAAGATTTTCATCATTACACTCAAGAAAGATAACAAAAGCAACGCAATCCATGAATACGTCATGAAATATCGTCGAAGTGTAGGATTACTTCATCCTCTCGCAAGGCGGAAAGATGTCATATATACATATATTTATATTCAGTGTATTATTATATATCAAAATATAAAACTTGCATTCTTAATTTCTAGTTTTTTTTGCCAATTTATAGCGATAAATACAACTTTTTTTAAAAAAGGTAAGATATGTAAACATTTTAGAATATATATTACTCTTTTTCTCTTACATTAAGGGGAAAAGGTTGTCTGATGCAATTAATGCTAAAGGTATGCTTAGTTGCAGCGTTTTATGAATAATGGATTAACATTGTACGTAAACAAATAACATAATTTACAATTCCTTTTTTTCAATCAGATGGGAAAATAATATTTAAATTATTAAAATAATTGAAAATGTCTAAAAATCATTAATAATTTCTTTTTTTTAAATATTTAGTTTCATTTTTTAGAAAAAAATAATTGAAATTAAAATTTACTTTCAATTTTAAGTTTGTCAGCCTCCTTGTGTGATACACGTCTTATTGTTTCAATAAATTTTCTGTCATAACGTAATATCACTCTGATACATATTAATCTTTATTTATACAAGGTCAATTCCATGTCCAGAATGACCCAAGCCATCTTTGTCAATTCCAATGTGATGATGTTGAAACAACCAACCCCCGTGGTCACGCCCAAGAATATAAACATACGCCCCAGCACAGCCAGGAAGGGTTTTAGCATTGTAAATGTATTTTGTAAGTTCAATGTTACCATTCATTTCATGCATTACTTTCCGCTTCATCCAAAGTCCAAATGAGACATACTTCTCAGGACCGTGGATGTGCGATACAATAATTGTTATTCTTCTTTCGTCTTTGGATAGCTGTAAGTTTGCCTTAGGATACTTAAATTTCTCATTTATTTTAGCATTTATGTTTAATAGACGTTGTTTTATACCGATAAGTTTATCCAATAATTTAACGTCACATGTAACACATTTAAGCTTACACTTGCTGGTTTTTATATCCGATTCACCTATCTCATAACCATAGATAGTTTTAATGACTTCAGTCGGTGTCTGAAAGGAAAGTTGGCATTGAATGCTTTTGGCATTACAATTAATTAAAGCTGGACATGTTGACGTGTATACAAAAATCTTTCCCCATTTCATTGGATGAGGGTTTCTTAAATCACATTTATTACATGGACATGGCTTTTGATCTTTAGTTTCGTATTTAACAACATTACCCACAAAGCCAGTAAAATTACTCATTGTATTGCCCCTATCTTTGACTGACACCATAACAGTCAGGTCCGCTATTGTTTTTATTAATTTAAATAAATCTTTATCTTGATAACCAACAGGCAAATCTGTCAGTTGCAGTTCTGAAATAGCCTTGAAATCAGCAGGAATTTGATTGTGCATACAACTTTCACTCTCTTCTGATGAAACGCCGGTATTAAGTACATGGTATTTTATGGCTAAATAGAACACACAAAAAAAAATTATTTGATAAAAAAAATTAAGATGATGCACAATTATTTTGTGACATTGATTATTAATATTAATATGTAAACAATGAATTATGTATATTTAAAATATATTCCTTTTTCAAATATTTAGGATTAAATTATTAAAATGAAAAAAAAAATGACAGGGATGAAAGAATGGATAACAGGAGAGGGGCTGCTTTATTTCAGACATCAATGGCTACTAGAAGACAACAATTTCTCAAGTAGGATAATGAGAGCCATAAACGCCACCGTCGTTAAAACCCTTGTAAGTTACGCTAGTGACACTTGCAGTCTTACCAGGCAAACGGAAAACATGCGGAAATTCATAAGAGAGGCAAATACTAAAGAAAAAAAAAATATACGGTCTGGTGATACAAAATGATGAACGGAAAATCCAAACAAAACAAGAGGCATATCCTTTGTTCAAAGACCAAACCATAGTCTCAAATAAATAAAAAGACAGAAAGAGTTGGATGTACAATTTTTCAATGTAATTCATATTTTACTTTCACCAAAACTGAGCTGAAAGCCAGATTGTAAAGCAGTCAAAATGATCTACAGGAAGAATCCTAGGTGCAAACGGAACCCAATATTGATGATGTGTAGAAGCACTAACATCATCTGGGGGTACTCGCCTAAAAGCGGCAAGTCATGAATTGATACGAATGTAAGAATGGGATTTGAGCAGGCCAGGCCCAACATGGGCCGTAGAAACACTGATGATGAAGATGAATTATGAAAATATGAATTATAATGTTTCAATGATAAAATAAATTTGTACCCTTTAAATTTTATTTTTCTTCTTTAAAAAAAAAAAAAAAAAATTAAATAATTTAAGTTTTCGGCTCACTTGACTACACTATGATAAAATTTCAAAAAGTTTTTCCTAAAAATATAATGCATTAAATCCGTTTTACCCGAATAAAGAGGTGTGGCATCATCTGAATCAGGGTCGTTAGTCGAGCGATATTTAAATATCCACGTTAAGATCTGCATGAATTCAAATTGAAAATTATTTATTTACACACTGATAATATTAGATTTCAATCTTAAATGTATGTTCATTAACTTTTACAACATAATACAAATAAATAAGCTTTACTTTACCTGATTAAAATACTTTTTCAGAGAACATCTGGAGAAAACAATATAAACAAAATATCACAGAACTATGAATTTATTTATGTTTTGTCATCTACACACAAGAAACCCACACACACAAAAAATATTTTTTTTAAAATAATAAAATTTTGTAAATACCAGTTGTAAAATTTAAAAATACATCACATGGGAATGCGAATGTGATTGTTTTTCTTTTTGTTTCTGTTGGCACAGGCTAAAACTAAATAAACATAATAATGACATCGCTATTCTTCATTTTTTATAGTTTAAAAATATGATATAAACCTCCCTCACTGCTATACATATCTGAGCCCAGGGAAAAAATATTATTAATAACATTTGCACTAATTTATATAATTGATTTCGTTAAGATTTTGGAAAATATACTCAAAATTCGACACTGAACTTTCATTCAACAAGGCAGTAGACATAGCTGTTGAAACAGAGGGGGCAGCGAAATGTGCCAAAGAAACAGTCCATGATGAAACGCCTGTCAATAAAATTCAGACACAAAGAAAGAAGCAACAGCAGACGGCAGGGAAATTTTCTCCATCTCAAAGACAAGATTTTCCGAGTGGAAAATGTGGCCGGTGTGGAGTAAGAGGCCATAAAGGAAATGTCTGCAGATAAAAAGACGTGATCTGCCGCTTTTGCCACAAGATAGGACATCTAGAAAGAGTTTGTCTTAATAAGAAAGAGAATGCTCCAAAACAGAAACCGATTCATCTAAAAAGAACAAGAAGGCAAAACCAAATAAAAACTATCATACACATTATTCAAGAACTCATTTTAAAAGGAAAGAGGTTTGCATTTGAAATTGACACTGGAGCCGGAGAAAAGTTTATGTCTGAATCTGTTTGGCGAAAGCTGGGACAACCCACATTGAGCCCAGTATCGTCAAGTACGACTCAGCGTCTGGTGACCTACTTAATGTTTTGGGAAGTGTGTAGATGCAGGCTGAAGCAGGGGAAATAACTACAAATCTGTCATTTGTAGTAGTGAAAAATCACAGCTTAAATTTTTTGGGAAGAATGGCAATAAAGAACCTCAGGAATTCAATAGACGCACTGTTTCAAACAAAGATAAATCACATTGCTAATCAAAACTCATTGAGTAAAGCAGGTGAAAAAATCCGTAAGTCAACTGAACATTGCAATGCGGATTCTCTTAGTTGTCTACCCTCAGGGCCGAATGACATATTTGATGGTGAAGAAAGTGAAGTAGATATGGATTCTGTTTGTATGATCAAACAAATCAGTTTACATATCAGACCAACAGACCCAGGAGTCCTTGCTAAAGAGTCACTTAAAGATTCTACTGTGTCTACTTTAATGAGATATTGTCAAGAGGGCTGGCCGTCCTCTACAAACAAAGAACACTTGAACAAGGAGGCAGCTAATATGGCAGCTTTTAAAAATATTCAAGACTCACTCTATGTGGAGTCGAATTGTCTATTTTATGGTTCAAGTATTGTGGTACCAAAAATACTGCAAGCTCAAGTTATCCAAATCCTGCATACAGGACATTTTGGAATCGAGCGGATGAAACAGTTAGTAAGATCATCTGTATATTGGCCTGGACTTGATACTCAAATCATGGAGATAGGTCGAACATGCCAAGCATGAGCAAAACACGCCAGAGACCCAAACAAAGCAAGTATCCACCCCTGGATGTTGCCAGAAAAACCATGGAGTTCATATTGACCATGCCATTAACTTTAAGGTGGCTGGTGGTGATAGATGCTTATTCAAAGTACCCGTGTATGCACAGGACAACATCTACATCGACCAAAGCCAACATTGATCTTCTGGGGGAAGATTTTGCTCATTTCGGCTATCGACACACCATAGTCAGTGACAATGCTACTTGCTTCATCTCAGAAGAATTTCAGCATTGGTGTAATGAGAGGGGTATAGTACATCTTGCAGGCGCTCCCTACTATCCTGCTACGAATGGAGCTGCAGAACGACTGATTCAAAGTTTCAAGAGATCACTAAAGAAATCCTCATTACCTTTAAAGGAATCTCTACAAGACTTTCTGCGTCAGTATCGTAGGACACCATTGGTAAGTGGATTATCACCTAGCCAACTGCTGAACAATCGGCAAATAAGAACACTTAATGATACGCTAGTTCCCTCTCCTGCTCATCGATCACAGGGACAGCATCTTAAAGAAATAGCCGTCCGCAATGGGACAAAAAGAAGTCCTAGTCGATCATTTAACTGCGGAGATCCGTGTTACGTAAGAGTATATGGAACAGCAACAGACTCTAAACCACGATGGGCTCCTGGTACAATCAACCAAGTTAGGGGTCCACGTCTTTTCAATGTGAAGATTTATCTGAATGGTCCCATTTGGAAGAGACATTTAGACCAACTTCGCCCCAGGTATTGAGAAGAAGAAGATGCAGAACCAAGTTAAGATATAATGACAGGAAGTCTTTATCCAACAGCTCAGCCAGCCCTGAGTCATCAACCGTCTATACATCCAGCAACTCCAGTCCACCTAAGAAGAAGATTAACCCTCGACATCCAGGACATTCAGACTATGTCATACCCAGAAAATCTCAAAGACAACGTCGAGCACCATTGTTACTGGACTTGTAATTGTTCTGGGAGGTGTTATGGTGGACTAGTGGACTGGACCGTACCGATAGCCAGCCAAGGAAACAGCGCGCATGCGCAGAGAGATTGGACACAGAGTGTGTGTGTTTATGAACCGTGTTCCGGACGCAAACAGAAAGTCAACACCTGATTGAGAACTTGTATTTTTGTATATATATGTTTATGTTACTTGTTTGAAATAAAAACAATGAAAACATAACACATACATACAGACATTCATTTTTATATATATAAGATTTAAAAAAATATGTGTGAAAACGAAAGTTTAAATTTAGATAAAATTTCAGCTGAAACACATGCAAAAAGTAAAGACACAGTAGGCTTACCTGAGTTTTAGCAGTATTAAAATGATTATGATAAGCGTTGCTGCTGTTAATAACAGAGTTAAAGAAAGAAAGATGCTCTCGTCTTTCTCTTGCAATATAGGCGGCTCTAAAAAAATTAAACAAAGGATAAATTATAGAATCAAGCATAATATATTTATAAAAAGGGGACGATAACAAACAAAGAACATTCAAATTAAATGTATTCAAAAGTAGAAACAATGTTTTTGAATAAATGGGCAATTTTTTATTAGTTGATCTATCCAAATTTCCCACTTTTCATCTACAAACCAACCGATCCATCAAAAATCTACAAACCCCAGCTATCCATCTACCAATGCATTCATCTGCCTAATAATTTAAAGATTTACTCAAAATCGGCCGATCTTTGCACACATCCATTTAGCTACCTAACTATCAATTAATCTGTCTACACATACATCAAAGACGTAGAAAATTGAAGATAAATGGTTATTGGACATAATTCTGATTATTTACTTATTCATTGTTTTGAATCAGACTGATCAAAGCAAAATGCTCACTGAACACTAACTTCACCACTGACATTCCCATAAAACATTTACATCAGAAACAGTAGCAAATGCTTCAAAGTGCCTCCGGGACAGTATAGAAATGAATAGAACTAACTAACATTTCAATATTCCCTTAGATCCTACTATACATCCCCTATTAACAATTTAGAACTTTCTGGAATATTTTAGATTAAATTTAATAACCTGCTCAAAACATGTAAAAACTACTTTTCTAATTATTTTTGGATACGTTAAAAATCTTCAACAAATGCCATAATTTTAATCCTTTTTCTTTTAAGTCAATCATGGGGCTCCGGGGACCCCTCCATAACTGTAATGATTTAGTTATGCCTGAGATAGGGGTCCTATATATAATATCAGACAGATAAATAATAGAGTTAGAATTAAAAATGTGTCCCATTAAAATCTACTTTAAAATTCTATAAATATAGCTTTTTAAAATTATCGAACGTTCTAGAAAATTCGAGAATTGATATTATTAGTTTTAAATCCACCGATATTTCAATACGGACAATGAAGTGTATTCCCAGAGGCCCCAGAGGAATAGATATTATGAGTTCCATACCCTCGGTATTTTAATATGGGTAATAAAGTGAATGTGTACTAAGTATTGTCAAGATCCATCGACTCATGTAGGAGTATTTCCTGTTAATTTTATTGATATAGCTCATATAAGAAAAAGCTAATTCGGCACCCCCCCCCCTTTCTCCCCAAACGGAATGTTATAAAAGTTTATAATCCCTTAATAGCTCCATCCGAAAAATGATGCATATTTTTGCAAAGTTTGGTCAAGATCCATCAATTCATGTAAAAGCCTTTGTGGAACAAACCCCCAAACCCACACAATTGCAGTTATATTTACATCTATGATATGATATGATATGATATGATATAATTAAAATTTAACGACTGTTTGTCGTCTGTTGATTATAGAATTATTGTCGAATTACTTTTCCCAAACATATTCCCCCATCTCATTCTAAAACACTACAGTTAGGACCGATTTTTTTCTAAGCGAAGGGGTAGGGTTTGTTTTTTAATTCTTTTAAAAAAAATCACTTTCTCTAATTTTCTAACCCCAAGCCTCCCATCCATCAACCACGCAACCAGAGGTGCCATTTTGTGTCAACAACTGAAGCAAAATTGCATGACGGCACGAATGAGACTGAATAGACACGAAAGAAAAGATTAGGTTTTTCAGGAAAAAAAAAAAAAAAAAAAAAAAATAAAAAAATAAATTAAAAAAAAAAAAAAAAAAAAATACCAGAGGTGCCATTTTGTGTCAACAACTGAAGCAAAATTGCATGACGGCACGAATGAGACTGAATAGACACGAAAGAAAAGATTAGGTTTTTCAGGAAAAAAAAAAAAATATATCGAAATGTTACTTTAAAGAAAGTCATTAAAAAGAGTCAGCAAGTACGTAGTGATTTTGTTTTAGTGGCATTGCTTTATTATCTTACGCATTATTATTATTTATAAACCATTTAGTTTAATCTTAGTAGAATTTTCATTTAACTAGACCATCGTTTATAAAAGTCACATTCTCATAAATACGAAATGTCAAAATTTAATTAACGTAACATATTTATCTGCCTAAAAGTGGGTTTTAGATGCATGCAGCAAACCTTCAATTTATACAACTAGACTCATAAAATGAAAGATAATATAAAAACAGTTATCCACGTGTTAATCTCAAAATTTTATTTAAAAGATATACGAAAATATATCGATATGTTTAGAGACTGTTAAAGAAACTAATTTACTATATGTATTTTTTCTTACAAATATATCATATATTGCTAAGATATTCATTATTCTTATATTGCTCACCAATTTTCAGTTTGCAACTGAGAGAGTTGTATCCTGTATCCAATCTACAGCTAGCGTACTTTATTTGGAAATGAAGTTCATGGGGTTCTTTAAACTCTCTTTCGTAAATGACACGGTTGATACCTTTTACAACTTGTTTTGAATCATCTTCTAATACATCGATCACACATGGTACAAGAGAACTGTTGCACATGAACTCTAAACTCACTAATGAACTCGTAATATGAGCGTAGCCTTCATTACCGTCGAAGTAAATTTCTTTTCCATTAATTCTGAGATTTCCTTTGGCACTTTTAGAGTCTGTTAAATAGATAAGATTTTTGTTGGATACAAACAAATGTATTTTTTTAATTGTTGCAATAAAGATAATTATGTTATCATATGATTTAAAACTCTTATTAATGTAACACGTTAAAATGTAAAAACTAGAACAATTTAATTGTAATACATGGTAAAGTATTATTCCAGCGCATAAATCAGTCACCATATATATCGTTAAGTCTTACTTCCATAATGAAAATATATATTTTAAGAGTAATTTTAATTAACTTTAAAAAAAATAATTTTGTAACATAATAATACAAAGAAAATTTCAATTTTTCTATTATTTCATTGAGAACATTTCAGCAATCTCTCTCTCTCTCTCTCTATATATATATATATATATATATATATATATATATATATATATATATATATATATATTTTTATATATTCTCTCTCTCTCTCTCTCTATATATATATATATATATATATATATATATATATATATATATATATATATATATTCTTCCGGTTAGCAACAAGATGGCTGACACGCAAAATTGTGAATACCGAAATTGTTCAAAAAACGTTAAAGTTATGAATATATGCTGATATAAATATGCGAATACAATGCGGGAAAGTAGGATAAGTATATGGAAGTAAACACAAACTGAGATGGAGTCCCGAAGTCGATGTTACGCCAATAACAATTTCATTTCATCAACTCCTGCGACGCAGTCAGTGCCAAGCTGTATTGGCAATTGTCATTTCCTTGGGTCCACTAGTTGCGTGGAGAATGGGGATCTGCTGCATTGGGCAACAGCTTGTCTCCCTAAATCACCGCCCAGGCTAAGTAGCTTTATTAGACATCACTTTACTTAGAGCAAGTTTGATTTGCAAGACAATGAAAGTCAATAGGAGGAAGACTCAACCATTTTGCCGCGCAACATTGAATGTGAGAACAATGTGTCCGGGATTTGAAACAGACCTTGATCAGATTGACAACGCAAGAAAGACAGCCGTCATTGACAAAGAAATCGCTAGACTAAACATTGATATTGCAGGCCTTCAAGAGATTCGACTAGCGGATAGTAGTACCATAAAAGAAGCCAGCTACACATTCTACTGGCAGGGGAAACCCGCAGATGAACCTAGACGGCATGATTTGCCTTAAGAAACACATTATTGGCCTGTATTGAACCTGCTTGTTTGGGATTGAAGAGGATTCTGAGACTGCGGATGTCATTATCTGCTGGCAAGGTCAACGTATTTAGTGTGTATGCTCCAACTCTTCAATCGACTCTAGAAGAGAAAAAATGTTCTATGAGACCCTTGACCAAGAATTATCACGTGTTCCCAAAACCGAAGCATTGTACATTCTGGGAGACTTTAATGCTAGGGTAGGAGCTGATCAGGAAGCCTGGCCGTCATGTCTTGGTTATCACGGATTAGGAAGGATTAATGAAAACGGACAACGTCTGCTGTTGTTGTGCTGCTCCCATGGTCTCTGTGCTACAAAAACCTTCTTCAAATGTAAAAAAAATCCAAAAGGTGTCATGGCGACACCCAGGTTCCTACCATTGGCACCAGCTAGACCTCGTCATTACTAGGCGCTTGCAGCAAGCCAGTGTAATTCACAAACTCAGCTACCATAGTGCCGACTGTGACACGAACTATTCTCTAGTGGAAAGCAAGATACGACTAACCCCAAAACATTGCATAATGCTAAAAAGACGTGTCGTCCACGGATAAACATCCACTGTTCAAACAACACAGAAAAAACGCAGCAATTCTCAAAAGTGTTGCAGTACACCCTTGCTAAAGGATCACACGATGGTACTATTGACTCTAACTAGAGTCATTTACGAGATGCTATTTACGATTCAGCCATGTCCGCCTACGGTAAAATGGAGCATACAAATAATGACTGGTTCGAGGCGCATTGGAATATGATGGAACCCGTAATCGAGAGGAGATAAGAGCCCTATTTGCCTATATGATGCACCTGGTGCTAATACACTACAGGCCTTCCGAACCGTAAACAATTATCACAGCAGATGGTCCGCCACTGTGCCAACACTTAGTGACTAGACCTTTGCAACTTCATACAATCGGATTCAGACAACGTAGGTGCAAGCAGCATGTACAAGGGCATCAAGAGGGCATTTGGTCCACACACGTCAAAAATTGCAGCACTCAAGAATAAGAAGGGACAAATTATCCAGAATCCAAATGATCAACTCCGGCGTTGGTTAAAGCATTATCTTGAGCTATACTCTAAATTGAATGTAGTCACTGAGGCCGCTCTTCATAATATTCCCGCCTTGTCAGTAATGAATGAACTGGATGAAGAGCCAACTTTACATGAGATCGAAAAGCCATCGACTACCTTGCGGATGGTAAGGCTCCAGGGATTGACGGTATCCCAGCGGAAATCCTAAAAAATGGAAAACATATCCTACTTCAGCCCTTACATGAGCTCCACTGTCAATGTGGGGAAGCAGGACACATTCCCCAGGACATGAGAGACGCCAACATCGTAACATTTTATAAAAATAAAGTGGACCGAAGTGATTGCAAAAGCTACCGAGGTATTTCTCTCCTTAGCTTAGATGGAAAGACTTTTGCACGTGTTGCCATTAAACGATTAGAGAGTCTGGTGAACCGCATCTACCCAGAATCTCAGTGTGGCTTCCAGAGTAGGCGCTCAAGAATAGAAACGATATTTTCGCTACGCCAAATGCAGGAGAAATGTCGTGAACAGCATATGCCTCATTGTATTGCCTTCATAGACCTGACCAAGGCATTTGACTTCGTAAGTTAGAGAGGCTTTTCAGTATCTTGCAAAGAATAGGTTATCCCCCACGAGTGCTCACAATAATACAGTCATTTCACAAAAACATGGACAGCTTAGTAACTTTCAATGGCACTGTCTTTGAGCCATTCCCAGTTAGCAACGGAGTAAAAGAGGTTTGTGAACTGGCACCAAAGCTCTTTTCCCTTTTAGATGCTCCTTCAATTTGCCTTCAGGGACTGTGAAGATGGAGTGTTCGTCCATACTCGATCTGATGGTAGGCTGTTCAATATCGCTCGCCTTCTGGCAAAGACCAAAGTAAAAAAGGTGCTGATTCGTGAACTGCTGTTCGCAGACGATTGCCGCCTTAACATCTCATAAATAAAGAAGGTATACATGGGGCTGGTTAATCGTCTATCACAAGCTTGTAAAGAGTTTGGACTTTCAATTAGTCTTCAGAAAACTCATGTAATGATGCAAGAAGCACAGTCCCCTCCAATCATATCTATTGAGGGTCATAATCTTTAGGTTTTTCATCATTTCACATACCTGGGATCCAATATTTCTAGTTCTCTCTCCGTTGATGACGAGATAACTATCAGTATTGCAAAAGCAGCAACAACTATGACTAAACTGAAAAAGTGGGTGTGGAATAATCTCAATCTAACTGATAAAACAAAATAAGTGTCTATCAGTCATGCGTGCTTAGCATGCTCCTATATGGTAGTGAAGTGTGGACAACATACACCAGTCAGGAGCGGAAACTCAACAGCTTCCATCAAAGATGTCTACGTCACATTTTGCGCATTCGCTGGCAGGACAGGGTGCCTAGCATTGAGGTTTTGGAACGTGCACACATGTTTAGCATATTCTCTTTTCTTATCAAGAGACGCCTTCGCTGGTTAGGTCATGTACGGAGAATGGAGGAAGGACGTATCCCAAGGAAACTGCTGTATGCAGAGTTTGAAGAAGGGACCAGACATAGTGGACGACCACGCCTGAGATTTATTGACGTTTGCAAACGAAGCATGAGGGAAGCCAATATTGAAACAAACGAATGGGAGTTCATTGCCGACAATCACTCCAACTGGCTAACAGCAGTGTTTGAAAGAGTAAAAAAGACAGAAGTTACTCGAAACGAGGCCCTCGAATCAAAAAGAACAATTCGGAAATCAAGAAGTTACCGGTAATCAATATTCTCCTGCGAGAGATTCGGCCATGATTGACTTTCTAGGATTGGCCTAGTGAGCCACTCGTCAAAGTGTAGAACTATATAGCTACTCCATCGTCTCACGAAGATGGAAGGACGCCATATATATATAACAATCTTTAACGGAGCGATAGGTCTAAATAATCCCTTTTCAACATAAATTTTAAAAATTCTATTACTTCTATAGTTTTTTCATCAATAATAATGCGACACCAATAAGTCAGTAATAAATTATCAGTTTATTTGTTGTGTGCAGCAGTTAGAAGTTCTAACGATCACCATGCAGACCTAAATAAAATTACCTCGAATGTTTTACAAGGCTGTTCTATAAATTAATTTATTATATCTATGTCAAAACATAACTTACATGAAAAGAAAAAGAAAAGTTAGATTAGAAAAATACGTTGACTTACCCTCTATTAAAGGAAAGACCTGAACAGTGCTTTCACTAATCGTTTCTTCCGCGCTAGATGTCTCACACTTAATCTGAGCACCACTGTATTGAGTCATTGCCTTCATTGAAACTTTAATTTCCACAACGTCGTTAGTAATCTTTTTGCAAGAAGGCATTTCTCCATTGCAGTCGGTGTTAATATTATAATTTTTTAACTGAGAGTAAATGAGGTGTAATTAAAAACGGCCATTAAACATTGTATTCTTTTAAATTAGACCATTAAGTTATAGCATTTTTTGGTAAATTAGACTACAGAAAGTATAAAAGTGAACGTTTTGTTGTTGTTTCAAATGATGTTGTCATTTGTTTTCTTCTTATGTGACGATGCTGTTATATTATATTGTTATTTATTACAAACCGATCATTTTTTATTTAAATTTTTTTTTTCTTTTCATCATTTAAAACAGGTATATGGCTATGTATGTAAGCACACGTCAAATGGAACATACGGCAATGACAACCAATATTTTAATGTAATTCATGTAAAAGATAAATTGACATCAAGTCATCTCTTGTCTCAAAATTCATTGGCGTTGGAAAGTATGAACAGCGAGTCAAATTTAAATAACTTTTGAAAATATTTCTATTTAAACCATTCATCCTCCTTTAAGAATCTGTAATTTTCTGAGAAACCTAACCCCACATTTTCCCAATAAAAATCAAATGCTTTTTACACTATTATGTTGATTTATCAGTTTCTCTATTACCATATTAAAAAAAGAACAATAAAAAATGTTTAAAACTTACAAGTTTAAAACTGTCGTCAGAATTATTTTTTGTTAAGAAACGTGCCTGGCGCTTCGATTGCTGCTGGGAGTAGGTTGCTTTGCACTTGAAAAACAGTTCATCAATACCATTTACTAATCCCTTTGTGCACATGGTTGTTGAATCATTCTGTTTATACTCTAACAATATCACCGTCTGACATCGAACCATTTCTGTAATGAAATAATGTTCAGGTATAGTCAACGTCAAATTAAAAAAATGAGATATTAATAGTATATCAAATAACAAAAAAGGAATTATCTATATATGAAATATGAACAATTTCAAATTTAAAAAGTCCAAGTAGCTGCATGTTTGTCAATAAATAATGTATTCTTAAATTAACCCAATTAACACTCTATCTTATTTTGTATCAAATAACTTCGACAATAACCCAATATTTGTTAAAAAATGGTTTCAAGTTATGTCACTTGAATATTTTTTAAATAGTTTTATAAAGTTGATATCACTTACCGAACATAAGTAGTACTATGAAAAACCTGTTGATAGTCGTCATTCTTTTTTGGTAATCATTAATTTTTTATTTATGAAACATAAACCTGGCAACAAAGTAATACTGAGATACTAACGAAATCCCTATTGAATGAAAACTAAGCTTAAAAAAAAGAATTTTCAATCTTTGCGATATACTTTGTTCAGGTTACACCGATAAAAATTATCATGTAGTCAACAAATTATTTTCAAATTTCGTTTAAGCGCTGTGTTATCAACGATATATGGCCCAATAATAGAATGATAGCAAATTTAGACCTGAAACAAATCTACGAACATTTAATTAGAGTGTGTTGCACACATCAATTTCGAAAAAAAATCAAATCTAGACATTAATATTCAGACCAGATTCTTGACAACAAATATGTTAGAGTCATAATAAATGTTACTTAATGGGTAATGGCTACTGACTAAGCGTGAAGGACACTACATTAAATGATTACAATCCATTCATTTTCTTCCCGCAAAAGTGATAATATATAAATGTCATGTATGCATGTACAAATAAATAATAACGATAAAACCAAGAAAATTACGACACACAGACGGATAATGACATAAAGGTGACAGACAGATGGCATGGCAGTAATACTGACATTTAAACCGAATGACACCAGAAAGAGATATTAATAACTAACACAAGATTGACCGGCAGACAATGATCAGGATATGACAATCAAGGCTATTGCAGGACATTCAGGGCTGGGCTGATAGTCAAAATACCTCAATTAGAAAAAAAATTATAAGGCACATTCACATACACTCTACAATCTGAAACTATATATGATACATATTAAACCGAACAATTAATTTTGTTGATAAGATAAAGATATACTAGATGGAGATAGATATTAATAGCTAAGAAATACATGCAAATGAAAATATTTGATATGTATATATATATATATATATATATATATATATATATATATATTATACTTAGATAGCTAGACAGATGAGGAGAGATAGATAAAAAAGATAAAATAAAAATATAATAAATAGAGATAGATATAAATAGATAAAAAATAAATAAAAAAAAAAATATTTTATATATATATATATATATATATATATATATATATATATATATATATATATATATTATACTTAGATAGCTAGACAGATGAGGAGAGATAGATAAAAAAGATATATTAGATTGATATAAATAGATAAATTATGTTGATTTGGAATTTCGGGATCAGTTTTTGCTTGGTTTAGGTCCTATCTCTCCCATAGAACGCAGACAGTTGCTGTCAATGGCTGTCTCTCGGGCAGAACTGTCTTTGTGTACGGAGTACCACGGGGTCCGTTTTAGGCCCGGTTCTATTCACAATGTGTACCAGGCCAAATTCCCTCTTGCTCAGGAGCCATGCTGTGGAGAGCCAGTCTTTCGCTGATGACACGCAGCTAGACAATCATACCCATACCTCTATTGTCGATTCTACTATCCGGGCTTTGCGAGAGAGCATTGATGATTTCAAGACACGGATGACACTCAGTAAGTTGAAGCTTAACTATGACCAATCAGATGCACTCTTTATTCACGATCAAAAAATAACAATTTTATGAACTGGTGATTTGAAAGTTGTGACAAGGCTTTCACACAAAAATCGCATTAAATGCTTGATCCAAATAAAAAAAAATAATAATCGTGTGAACAAAGCATAATTCTAACAATGTAACAAACACACAAATACATGAAAACGATAAATATGTTTTTTTTTAAAATACATTGATCTTTATAGAAAGAGCGAGTTAAAGATCTTAGACAAGTATTTACATATCGATTGCTAATTAGAAATGTGTTTTTCAAAGCAATTACTTTCATTATCAGTGTTGAAAGTTTCCGAATAGTAAGCCATCAAAGGGAGCGCGTTAACACGTTAGACCCAGTGAACATAAATATTTTCATAACCCAAGTTAAAACCGAACTGTTAGATTATATCAGTATTATAAATTTGTTCAACGGGTTTCAAAGTTTAAGTACAACTTGATTTTACCACGTCTGTCTTATTACTCATTTCCGTAATTTTTATTATAAATACGTTAACTGTAGCTTTAATATCGAGATGAAACGCTAAAATGGCTCTAGATTTAAGTGGCCATCTTTTACATATAGTATTTTTAATTGTGTGCTTCAACGTTTCTATACATTGGGGTAATCACCAATTTTAAGCAACAGCAATAAATAATATATAACAATCGAGTTCGTCAATATAATCACAATTATTTGAGCTCCCAGTGTACTACCCAATAAAAATAATCGTTTTGATACAAAGAAAGTTCTTAATTTTTTTTTTAAATGCATGGAAAAAGCGCGTTTACATCGTTTTAAAATTTAGTTGTTTATTTTAGTCAATTGTTAATTTGAAATGCTTAAAGACTATCTCTAATTAGAAAACAAAGAAGATAATTTTTTATATTTTAACTTTTGCATTGTGTGTACTATCTTTGACCTACTCAGATAGATGACCATGCACATTTTGTTATCACCAATGTCTTAATTCTCTTATAGGTTATTTTACTTACAAGTTACAAATTTAAGAAATAATGCGTGGTCGATTTAACTTAATTTACAGTAATAAGACTTACGATTTTAGAAGAGTGTTACTTTTTTCTTTTTTTATAAAATTTGTTTTAACTTGTTTTTGTTTTTTATTTGTTTTTTTTTTTATTTTATTATGCATAAAATTCCCACAGTAAGAAAATGCTATTTAATTATAGACTCGCAAAAAAAATTAAAAAAGAAACTCATAATCAATGTCATTAAAAATTTTTTTTAAAAATATATTGTGAACAATTAGCTTGCAGGCCAGGCGAAGAGGGACAACCCCATATTCTTAGTTTCAATTGGACACAAACATTTTACACTATCAACGAAATCTATTTCAATGTAAATAACGCACTCAAAGGTGTGTGTACAATGACGCAGGGATGTTCAAGCTTCGAGACCAAAAATTACAATTTTGCAATGAATTATTTAAAGGACGCATTTCAAGTTTCTTTGAGAGTGCACAACATTTCGAGACAAGTGAATGGTTTAACTAAGATTCAAGTTGGAGCCATTAATAAAGATTTATCACGAAACGCCGAATATACTTGTTATTTAAAAGTCTATAGTAAGTAAAAGTATTTTTATCTTTTTAACTGAAAAGTTCATAAAAAGAAAATGTTTACTTTTTTTTCAAAGGATGATGCAACACAATGCAAAACCGTATATATTATCATTCCTATCTACCTGTTTTGTATCATTCAAGTTCTTATAATGTTTCACTGTATTCGAAAAAGTGATAACGAGGTATTTATGTACATATATAATTTATTTTTCAAGTTAAAAAATAAGGCAAATTTTATTTTTCGTAATGTGTACACTTTTGAACCAACTACCATAATTAACCTTCTAAAACAATAGCCCTAAGTAAAATTAAAATATATTTTAAAGTATTGAGTTATTCTATTAAGAGGAAATGTACAAGTTGAAATTCAAAGATAGCTTAAATATGTTTTATCAAAATGAGAAGTAAACTATCACTATTAGTTAAAATGTATGCCTTACAATGATATCAAAAGTCTTTAGTCTACATACACAATATTTTAAAAAGTCACGCCTTCTTCTGACAAACTGCGAAAATTGTTGACATTGTACGTGTTCCCTATATTTTTGAAGTTTATTATGCTCATGGAATTTAATATTTTTTTTTAGATTTCAAAATGTGTTAAAATGTTTTTTACATTAAGTTTCCTTTTATTTCTTAATATTTTAAATGAAAGAATACACATTTTTGTAAATATGTTCTTCTAATTAAAAAAAAACACCCCTAAGCTTTACCAAAACGTTAACCCATAATCTAACCCTGACTCAACAAAGACGCAAACTATAAACCTAAGCTGAATCTTAAGCATAATGCTTATTCTGAGCACTTTCAATATAACCCTATAACGGAACCCTAACGCTTTTATAAAAAAGATAATACAAAAGATATAAAAAGCACAATAACTATTCAAACAAAATGTACAAAATAAAATATAATTCTAACACAAATATTAATCACTGAATTTTATTATCTTCTCTTCTTTTTTGTTATTACCCAAACACTAGTGCCAAATCTTTAATCGAACTATGTGCCTAACACTTGGAAATGATAACTTAAAAGCCTTATAGCTTGAGACTAGCACACATGAAAATCATAAGACCTAATCCCCACCTTAATCCTAATCTCAAACTCAAACCTAATATTTACCCAAGCTCTAATTTCATCCCTTAAACACAACGCAAATGTTTGATTTAAACTCTTCATCTAGCCTAAACCTAAGTTTTAACGACACGCATTACCTACCATTAATACTAGCCCTACATTTCTCATTTATCTAGGCTTAATGGCTGAGCCTAAATCACAACCAAAACTTAATGAATCCTAAATCTAGACACAACCATACGTGTCGCTGTAACCCTGGCGCTAACCGTTAGCCTGATATTTATTCGTAAGTTTTAACTTTACCCTAAACTTGAACCTTAACGTGCACACGTAACTTTGACTTACACCCTAAACACAATTGCCTACCATAATCATTACCACAACATCTATTCATTATGATTAGAGCTGAGTTACTTTTTACGGTTATGGTGGGTAATTTAAGACACATAATTGAAAACACGGTGCTATTTTAGGCGCTGATTCCAAAATCAACAAAAAGTTGTATTTAATCTGCTGTAGATTTTAGCCTGGATTAATTGAAATTGGTATTTTACAGTTCGCTAAATAAAATAGATCTTTTGCATATTATTGACATCATAACCTATTTAAAATTAAAATGCATGCATTTAAATTATACTAATTTAGTCAATTATGATCGCCTGCCTTTAGATTTAAGGTGGAAAACTGATGTAGTTTAGTACAAACATACAATTCAAGTAATAGGGATCAGTGCTGCCTTTTGTGGGTGAAAAAAAACAACTGGAACCCATGTGTCAGGAATGAGTTAATATTTTTTTCTGAAATGTTGACTATTTAATTTAATAAAAAATGTAGAGATATCTAGAAATGAAAGGTCTCTACAGAAGAGAGGCAAAAATAGTTATCACAAGTTTATAGGCAATCGTAAAAATTATATTTCTGCCGACGAATCGCAGTAACAAATCTATGTTTAGTATTTTCAACACAAGAGTGTAAAGGGAATAAAATGTATATTTTTTTTTTTTGGGGGGGGGGGGGGGGTGGGGGAGAAAAAAAAAACACAAGTTCAAGTGTAACATTAAAGGCTCCCCATTGTGTGTTGGCCAATGTAATTAATTTATTTTATTTACATTTTTTTGTGTGTAAATTACATGAACTTATTTATTGATAAAAGTTTGCAATATTTTACGTCCATCACTTATAAGCCATGATTATCAATGCTTGTATATGCACACATGATTGTATGGTTAACAGATATATATTCCGTCTAGTGTTGAGCTAAAATTGATTTCTTTATATGCAATTAAAATTGTTAAATTATTACGTGAGAGGGAAGTACAGAATGCTAACTATATCATCAAAAATGTATTATCAAATTTAATAGTTTTTTTTAAATATATTATAATTATTTAAACTTTTTTTCCAGAGAAAGTTTCTAATTTAAAATGTATTAAAATGCTTTCGGCTGATGGTTTATCACTATCATGCTCTTCTTGGAGGGTGTATCCAGAAGCGAAATGTGATTATTATGTGTCTATTAACGGGGTAAGTATTGGTTTTTAAATGTATACATTTGTAACCATAAACATGAATGTGATAAAAAAATGGCAAATAGTCTAACTGATTTTAGAATAAAATTGAGTTCAAATCTAGTTGCCAACTAAATAAATCCTTTAAAAATTACTTCGATTGATATTTATTAAACAAATTGATGTCTTTATAACGTCCCTTTACTATGTTAATAATGAAATGACCATTCAAATGAAAGGTTTTAACTTTCCTCCTCTGTCAGATGTGTGGCCTAATTAAAAAACAACTCCAAAATTTCAAGTTAGAGTAAAATAACCACATATATGTATGCGTTATCAAAGCTTTAGCATAACCTTTCAAAAATAGGGAATGAATTGCTCGGTTTGTTAACAGTGCATTGTATATTCCGCTTTTTAAAAGATCTCAAAAGTATACTTCTTGTGTAATACGCAATGAAACTAGACTTAGAACAAAGATGGGATGTCTAAATTAAAATAGATGGTTCATTATGCTACAAAATGAAGTAAGGGATGAGAGTTTAACATACTTATCTACACATTGGCAGAAAGTTTATATTGGTAATGAACTGAACATAAATGTAATTTTCAAAATTGAGTCAACATTGAAGTGTACAATCTCAATGCGTTAATAATCGTAATCTAGATGTCTAGAAACTATTAAATATTATTACATAGTACGTCGAATACTTATAACCTATTGGCGTGAGACAAAATTTGATCACCGATAACTTTCCAACAGAAACTGTCAATGTATGTCAAGAGACTTTATCAAACAATCTTCCCATCTGTGAACAAATCAGCACTAAAAAATCATTTTTATATACACATGTATTCATATGATTAATTTCCCATCGTTTCTACAGAAAGCGTTTAAGTTTAGGGTTTTGTTTTCTGGTTATTCTTCAAAAAAATGACTCTCCAACTTTTTTATGCTAAAATATCATACAAGAAAATTATAAAAATAACAATAATTTAAATAATAATAAAATCCTATGGATGAAGGCATTCGTCTGCTGCAGTTAACATCTAAAAAAATAAATAAAAATTAACCAAGATCTCAACCACAGTCTTTCCATCAATAAAACCGTCACGTTGTAAAATAGCCCCCCCCCCCCCAACATTACTGAAACCGGAGTAGCAAAATAAATAATAATAAAATCCTATGGATGAAGGCATTCGTCTGCTGCAGTTAAAATCTAAAAAAATAAATAAAAATAAACCAAGATCTCAACCACAGTCTTTCCATCAATAAAACCGTCACGTTGTAAAATAGCCCCCCCCCCCCCAACATTACTGAAACCGGAGTAGCAAAACTTCTCAAAAACCTGAAACCCAATAAAGCGCCCGGACCTGACTGTATCCCGAACATTGTCCTGAAGACACTGGCTGACAACATCGCCCCAAACATGATCCACATTTTCCAACAGTAGCTTGACTCCGGCAAACTCCCTCTAGACTGGCTTGATGCAAATATTTTACAAGCAAATACGTTTTGAAATAAATACGTTATTGCATACTTTAAAAAATTTATGAAACAAGTATATATATTTTGATTTACAACTTTTGACTATTCTCCACAGCGAAAAATGGATTTAAAGTTGATAACAACATACAGCAACGTGGAGCTTCCGGGTCTTTACATTTATTTTAACTCCACCTGTTCAGTGTTTATTTCCAAGTTGAATTTGAGTCCTGGAGCTTACACGATAAACGTAACAATGTATCCCAATGTCACTGGGACCACATCAGATATTAGTTATGGGCAGCATACAAGTCTATCATTGAAGCTAGGTAAGTTTACAAAATAATATTGCTGATTAAAAAGCGGTAGCGGCAACGCCGGCCTTAGGTAAACCGTAGCCCTCACCAAGTACCCGGTCGGCGCTTCCTTCCGTATAATTAAATTAGTTTCCACGCAATTTCGGTTGGTCCCAACCCAAGTGTTGGTATCCAAATCAAGAATGAAACTTTCTTTGTATGAAAACTCATTGTATGAAAAGCAATTGTATCAAAAGTTAAAATACCGTTTCACAAACACGGACCCGAAATTTACATTTTACTATAATGAACTAAGGGAATGTAAATATTTACTGGGCACCCGAGGCGTCCCTATGGTCATGGCGCCTTTTTCGAAAGCACGGGTCACACATCCTAAAGGCCAGCGTTCATAGCAGATAATTGCATCGACAGACATTTCATCGACAAAGAAAAAAAAACAAACAACAAAATAACATTGAAATGGACACTTCGTCGATAAAAAGAACATTTCTATGGACACCTTATCAAGTTACAATCAGCATTGTATATTGATGTATATTATGGTGTAGTTGACACATAGAACGACTTTTTTTCGGGGCCTGGGCTCAAGTGCATTGTATCCTTAGATAAGCTACACAAAGACACGTTTAAATGTGTAAACGACAGATGAATCTAGTCCAAAGTTATTAGGCGAACCAGGCATCATCCGAAATTAAAATACTGCCATATTTGAAACTAATACAATTCTCTCCACTTGACCCTATTAAAACTAAATGCACTTATTCAGTGACGAATCATCTTCTAATTTCTTCTTGTCTGGACCTTCCCACCCCTACCCTACTTTCTACTTTACCCCATTTTTAGAACATCCAAGCGTTATCTTAAGGGACTGTCCAGAATATGTTGAGGATAAAACAGAAATCCAATGTGAATGCTACTTAAATGACGCAGGAACTAGTAACTCTTCCACCAAATGGACTGACGCATATGGTAATCGTCTTACAGAGAGTTCTGTATTAACCTTTACTGCAAATAAGTTGATACCACCAGGTTAGTAATAGACTCATGTCTTATCCTATTATGACTTTTGTCAAGTTTCAAAGGATTAACACGAGATTGATTAAAAGAAAATGGTGTACCAAGACAGATTTACATAAATAGATATAAATGGAAGTATATTTGATGTACATATACTAATTATTCAAAGAAAATTAAATGCGTACATATCTTTTAGATTACCACTGCAAGTCATCAAATTTGTTAGGTTGGGAAAGTAACTCCGTCTCCTACAGACCCACGTTGTTGTGTGAGTTACGATTTAATGTTTACTTCATACCGTTTAATTCTTTTTTTATAAGCATCACAATTTTAATAGAGGTCTTGTTTAATCTAGGGTAAAAAAACATTCATTTTAATATATTAAAAAATATTTATGAATAAGTTCATTTCAAAGTAAAAATATATATGTATGTATATATAAATATATAAATCAGATCCACCAAGTGTGAGAAGTCTAACAGTGAATGGTCTTCACAGAGAAATATTATACGTGAGTAAAAATACCAAACTGCTGCTGACCTGTGCAGGGGATGGGTTTCCACAACCTAATCAGAAACTTTACAATGGACCCTTATTACTTCGAGAGAAACCAGCGACACAAGGAGTGCTTTATTTATCTCACACGATGACATGTCAAAGTTTTAACCTGTTTACTTGTTCGGCTTCTCAAAACGGAAACAATTCTACTAAAAATATGACGGTATATGCTATGTGTAAGTACAAAAATATCTGCATGAAATAATTTTTTTTATTATTTAATTTATATCGATGTAAAGTGTGTTTTTTAGGGTGAAAAAGATAACAAAGTTTGTTTTAAAATTATTCTTCCACTTTCTAAATGTATGAAATAAATTAATGTACAGTGGGTCCCGCATAATGAATTTAATCCGTAAACGGTGCGTTCATTATATGGTTGTATATTTCTCATAGGTTCCCATGATAAAAATAATAATTAAAACTATAATAATAATTTTTGCGACGCAAAATAAAAAAAAAAAGAAAGGAGGAATGAATCTGTTTTTTTTTAAAAATGTAACTTAAAAATAATTTCCAAGCTGGCAATTCGGGTATCGACAAGGAGGATTTGGAAGAGGTTACTGTAAATTTTGCAAACTTTTAAAATTTACACATTGTACATACATTCACTGTGTTCTCGTAATATTGTATTTTTTTAATAAGAGGAATACATTGTTAAAAAAATAGTGTAACAAAACATACACATACATGCCAGCAAACAAAAAAACACAATTTAAACACACACAAAAACAACACAAACTCAACATTAAAAACACACAGGAATACCACTTACTCCTGTTCATCTCCAGAATTGCTTATGGTGAGCAGAGAAATCTATTTGAACGCTCGGGTGTTTAGATTTACATTTTTTTATATATATTTCTCCCCATCGACGAGAGCTATAGTGTTTCGTTATACGAATCGCCGTTCTCTATGCGAATAATTTCTGGGTGAACGTCCGCTATAGTTGTGCGGATTTTCGTTATTATTGGCGCTAATTATTTATTTATTTAGGCATTTTTATATAGCGCTTACCTTAAAGCTCTAAGCGCTTTACAATTATTAAAAACATGTAAACTAAGTAAAATAAAAAATGAAAAACCAGAGAAATGCGTGGACTCACCAAAACTAAAACTAAATAATTAACATTTTAATCACCACTAAGAAGTAAAAAAAAGTAAACAATAATTTAGTTAGAAATTTATTTATTCAACTTCAAGCACATTTAAGTATGCTAAATTAATTAATACATTACATTGTATATTTTATTTTTCAATTTTCAACCCTTATGAAACTTTTTTTGTTAACAAAATGGTTATCATTACAATTGAAGTTTTTAATAATGATTTTTTTTTCAATCTAAGTTTTAACATAATGCAATACATTTCAATCAGGTCCTCCCCAGTTAACCAAAGAAAGCAAGGCCACGCTTGTTGTTGACGCAGAACTATACAAACAAATTTCAATAGCTCTTGAAATATATGGCTATCCTGAGCCAAAGAAATACACAATTGTTAAAAATGGTGCCCTCGTTACACATTTTTATTTTGTAGTTCATGGAAGCACCAGTAGTTATCTATACAATATCGCATATACATTAACTATCTCACCGTATGGACTTGTGAACTTGAGCTTTGTGATTCTAGACCACTCTGATTTTACGACTTACATCTTAATCGTTGACAATAATGGAAGCCAGGCTCTTAATTACACCTTTCTAGTGCAAGAAGGTAACACATTCATATAATAATTAAATTATCATTACAAAATGTTATTGTAATTATCATTGAATAAATAAGAGGTTTGTGTATTTGATTACGACACAAAATGTAAATAAAATATTAAAGAAACTATTCATACACTTAAACACTTTGAACTAAATACTCATTTAAGTTTGTTTGTTTTAAGACACATGGCTCACTCAAAAAAAATGTTTGAGTGTGAGGGAGGTGTGTGTCGTATCATCAACTTAACTGTATTGCATAACGCCATAATTAAAAATAAATTCAATGACTATTCAATGCAAAGCTAAAATAAACGAACATTGACGACACCTCAAAAAGTAAAACTTATCATAAGTTTTATTTTGTTCATGTTTTTAAAATTAAAAAAAAAAACAATGTTGATATATAACCAGAAGATATTAATTTTCATCAATGCATTTTTTTTTTTATTTTCTAAATACAGCAGTAACAGTCAGTAGCTTTCATATTTGGAAATTGATACTTCTTTTAGCGATCATTTGTGCAAGCGCGTTCCTTGGCGTGGCTATAGTATGTAGAGTAAAGCAATATAAACGTAAAAACCCTGGTGAGTTAAGGATTGATTTTTAAATATGATGTCTTTTGTTATCTCTCAAAAATTTCTAGTGACCCCGCAAAGCATGCCATGCATGTGGGAATGTAGCTCTAAACAGGCTCCTAGGGTGTTATCACAAGACTAATCGATAGGGGCAATCATGGGTATCAGAGAAAAATTATGATTTTGGAGAATTGTATGATTGACATGTATACACTGGGCATCTTACATAAGTTATTTATTAAAGTTCAGAGCAATTAAAACATAAATTAATATTTCAAATTACATTTTTTATTTAGCTTTATTATTTTTTAAGTCATATATGTATATATATATCTATCTCTGTCTATTTTTCAAAGTATATTTGGATAAATAAATTTGTTTTATAAATAAAATTAGATTATAAGGACATTGTGTGGGGTTCAAACTATAGTTTTATCTCGAGTTTAAGGCATCTATTACTTTGATTTTCACTTTTCAGTACTTTACGATAAACCAATGTCCCGGAAAATACACGATTTAGAAGAAAGATCAACACAAGATGATACACACACTGGGTACTTGAAAGTCATTGACAGAACAAGCGATGAAGGCCAGGAGTATCCAGATAACGCAAACATTCAACAAGAGACTCGTCATTATGAATTAATAGACAACGTGATATGAAAAAAAGCTTAAAATTTAGAGTTAAATATCTTAAGGGAAGATCTATCATATCTGATACTTCATCAGATATCAGATTGTAAATTAAAATTAAATATCAATAGATCAAAGTTCAACAGGTGTAGTGTATGTTAAAGTTTAAATTCCAACTAAAACAGATCTGAATGGACAGGCATGGGCACGGCTTGTGCTCATGGGTTTAACAAAACTCGTTCATATCACTAAAAGTTATTCAAAGTTTTACGTTTATAAATAAATGTACAACGTATACATGCATTTTTCGTAAAAAAATTAGTTTATAATGACTCATCATCTGCTCTTGGAACATTTGGACATGTTCTATTACACTGAAGTTTTCGTGAAATGATTGAGGAAATAGAATGTAGTTTTTTTTTTTTTTTTTTTTTTTTACAGGCAGTCACAAAAAAAAACTTTTTTTTCAAACGAATCGAGCAAGCATTCCATGCTAACATGAGACTGGGAGAGATGAGAGTGGCATGTTTTTAATGAAAGGGGAGGCGAGTTGAACTCATTAACGATTTTTTAAACTGTCTGTCTGTTAGACACGGACAAGAGCTACAGTTTTTTAAAATTAAAATTTTAAAGATGTTTTTATGCTTAATTATTTATTTGAAATATTTACATAATTTGATTGTCAGACAGTGCAAATTAATTACAAATTTTGTGTTTGTAATTTGAATATTTTCATATTATGTCTGGCTGTTCAATAACTTATAAAATTTATGTAAAATTAATTACACAGTTTGTGTTTGTATTTGGAATATTTACATAATTCTATTGCCTGACATTTCAAATTAATTACGTCTATTCGTGTCTGTGATTTCGTATTTGTCTAAAAAGTTTAGGTAATATAGTAATTTCAGTTAGCCCCATCCCATTCGCTAAACCATGGACACTATTCAGGAACAGGGAGATGTAGAGTTCACACAAAATTGACACACCTTTTTCCGTATGGTTATTAGATAAATTGATTTGCAAAATACTAAGAGATTTGCTGTGTCTAAAGAAATATTTCACTTTTATTATTTAAAAAAAAATATTCTGTGTAATCCGTTAAATCCATTTACTTTCATTTTGGTGTAATTTTTAAAAAAACGCAGAATTCATTATTAAAAATAGCACCAAGTATGTCTTTAGTTAAAGATGTTGATTATATTTTATTTCAAAATTATATCAGACAGACATTCGGCGTTTTAATGTCTGGTCTATATTTTTTTGGAAAATTAAGTTAATTAAAAACTAAACCAGAATCCGTGGTAAAATTGTAAAATTTGCAAACTCAACAGAAGATAGTTTAAATAGTGTACATTTTGTTTTTCATCTGTAACATTTAAATCTCCAATACATATAGGCCTATGAATAAGATTCAAAATATTTGAAACGTGCATGTCAATTTGGGAAATTCACTGGATATTCTTGGCTTTCGGTAATTCAATTAACCCGTAATAGGGATTTCCTGTTATTAGACCATGCCACTATTACGTGTTTCTTTGTAATCAATACTTTTTTTTTTTACATTAGACAACAGATGGGGATGATTTTTCACATATGTTGAGTTACTTTTTATCAAAGTGTACATCTAGTGGTAATAGTGGTCCACTTTTAAAAAGTCCCTTAAAACCCATCTGTTTAGGTCCGCCTATGACCTGTGATGCACCCTCCTTGCCCTGCCTCATTTTCTGTCTCAGGTTAATCATGTAATATAGGCCAAAACGTGCCAAAGTGTCCTCGTTTTATAGCCATTTTAATTGTTTCTATAGTATAGTAGTTCCTATCCTAATGTCTCATTTTTATTGTAGTTAGTTTACATGTTTTTAATAATTTTAAAGCGCTTATAGCTTAAGGTAAGCGCTATATAAAAATGCCTAAATAAAAAAATAAATAAATAATGTATGTCTGCATCTTGTAAATATACGGAGCAAATTATCTGCACTAAATGGTACATAACAGAAAAGAAATACATAATGTCAGAGTTGGCTCTGGTAGAGAATGCCCTGGTCAATGCTAGGTTAAAATAATTTCCTAGTAATTTCTTTTTTAGTTGTATTTATCGATTTTCGTTTTCGCTTACAAAAATTGCTATAAAGTATATATCGTCTTTTTCTTGTTTTTCGGCAGTATTTGCTACTCTTTGCCTCTTCCGGCTTAATATTTCGAAGGGTAAAAACATTATTCCTAAACAGATGTAAAATAAAGGAGGAACATTGCTCCCTATACAGGCGTGCGTTGACTACAAGTTGTTTGTTCTCTGTCACAACTTTTTATCGGATTCCTGCCCTTCCTATCTAACCGAAATTATTTCAGTCTATTCACCCCTTCGACAGCTTGACTACTCCGCAGACACGCGTATTCTGACCGTTCCCAAGACACATAATAAAAAAATATAGAGAACGATCTTTCTCTTTCTGCGCCCCCAAACAATGGAATTCTTTGCCACTACACATATGCAATATACCAACCACAAGGCCTTCAAAACTGCACTCAAAACACATCTCTTTAAACTATACTACCCTGACTGATTCCCCTCCACTGACTGATAAACGAACCTGCTGGCTGTCGTCCATGGTTTGCCTTGTAAAAGTTCTGGGGTCAGGTGGGTGAATATACGTTTGTTTTTGTTTTTTTTGTTTTTTTGTGTTACTGACTGTACTTGATTTCATAAATGTATTTTATTTTAATGTCATGATTGTCTCTTTTGCTAATAGTTTTATGTACAGCGCGGTGAGCCAAGCCCTAGGCTGGGGTACCACGCTATATAACATGCACAATGATAATTATTATGTAAATATTGTTCCGTCAGATTAAATGTATTATTCGTAGTTACAAATTTAAGAATTCAAAAGCTTTTTTTTAAAAATGACAACAACAAAATTTATGCAAAATTGATGCCATTTATAATAAGGTTACCTAAAGAATCTTCCAACATGTAATATTTTGATAATTGGACAATATAATGTTGTTAAGTTTACCCCATCAACAGAAAATTTAGAATTTGAAATCTGTTTAGTTATTACTAAGAACATTGCAAACGTTTGGAATCACATTATTGCTTTTCCTCCTAAAACCAATTTAATTTAAACATGTAAATTTAATAATATAAACTTTTAATAAGTTCAAACTTGCACATACAGGGAAAGCTAATAACCAATTATTGGTTTTTATGAGTGGTGTTGTTTAAGTGATAAAAAATGAAATGTAATTGTCCATTTTTCATTAAGACATTAATTATTTTAATTTTAGATTTTCATCCTATATTGAAAATATATTTTATCTAATCAACATAAAATCACTGTAAGATTTGTGTTATTTGTCAAATTAGACGAAATCCAATATGTTTTACATGTTTAAAAAAATATATATTTCACTTTTTTTTCTCCCTCTTTTGACTTTTTAAAAATTATTCTGGGTAATATCTGTTTATTTTTTCTTTTAAAATATCATATACTTTAACTGGTTTCTTTCTCTTATAATCTTAAAACAATCAAAAACATTTTAAATAAATACATTTAAACAAGAAATGTTTTAAAAACGATGAGGTTACTTAACATTTTTATTTTATTGTTTTTTTTTCGTTTTTTTTTTTTTTTTTAAATTGCATCGTTTTCAATAACAAAGCAAAATAACACATCTATGAACCCATCTTTTTTTTAAAGATAACTTCAGGACAAGACTAAAAAATAAATACATTTAAACAAGAAATGTTTTAAAAACGATGAGGTTACTTAACATTTTTATTTTATTGTTTTTTTTTCGTTTTTTTTTTTTTTTTTAAATTGCATCGTTTTCATTAACAAAGCAAAATAACACATCTATGAACCCATCTTTTTTTTAAAGATAACTTCAGGACGAGACTAAAAAATTTCGTCCAAATCTTTGATAAATTCATAGTCATCTGAAAAGGAATCTTCCAGTACTGTTATATACTCCGTGTTCCATTCCATATGTTTTCCATTAAATGTGTTATATTTGTAATAGTCTTCATTCTTTTCACTGTCTATTGTATCGTAAGGGCTGTGGATCACGGCCAATAAATTGGAATCACTGCAAGGCTGATGTTCGTTTGAAATCAACGTTTCGTCGATGAGGTCATAAGGATTTTCTTCAATGTTACTTCCAATAAAAAAAAATTCTTCAACGTTAAATCTTGAATGATCCAAATGCATTAGTTCACAAATCCCATCATTTCTATTTGGGGATCTCACACAATCACGCTGATATTTGAAGATGATTTGATCTAGTACAGAGAAGTAATATTTGAAAAAAGTAATAAGTACTTTTAAAACTTATATATATATATATATATATATATATATATATATATATATATATATATAAAGAGAGAGAGAGAGAGAGAGAGATATATAGTACAGAGAAGTAATATTTGAAAAAAGTAATAAATATTTTTAAAACTTATATATATATATATATATATATATATATATATATATATATATATATATTAAGAGAGAGAGAGTCAGAGAGAGAGTCAGAGAGAGAGTCAGAGAGAGAGATATTTAAAAATTATGATATAATTTATGAAAATGTATATTGTATTTAGTGCATTGCAGCTTACTGATAGATTCTGAGCAGAGATTTTTTTTTTTAAAGCAGAGCTTTAATGCGGCCAAGTAGTTACCCGCTCCACTTCAAGCAGCGTTTTAAGAAATGTGTTTATGTTCCTCACATAACCATTTAAAAAAAAAACCTAGGCATTACTAAGTCATGTACGACGGAACTAAGCTTTTAGAGGTGTAGGGCAATATAGCTTGTAGAAGAGTGGGGCATCATAGATACTTAAGGATTGAGCAATTTAGACTGATAAAAGAATGGGTGACATAGCTGGTACAAGAGTTGGGCAACATAACTTATAGAAGAGTGGGACAACATAGTTGAAGAAGTTTGGGGCATTCATTTATCTTAATTTAGGATGAAAATGAAAAAAATTTCACACAACGCTTTGAGTTTTTTAAATTAATTGAATTAAACCATTTGAGGTCTGAGCAGAACGAAGCTTAACCAGCTCCGTGAAAAAGACCTCTTTATAGAGCACCTTTCTGATCCAAATGACTGTAGCGACAATCTTACTCATAACTAAGTTGTTTAAGTACATGAAATCAATAACAAAATATAATATAATATATATATGTGTGTTATTATTCGCATATAAATGTGATACTTACCTTTCCTCTTAGACCGGCAGCACAATGCAATGAATATGGCACACACACTAAATGAACCAACGGTTGCAAAACCAATAAATACAGTCAGAAGAGGACTTCCCCTACCTCTATATCTTTGGAGACCTTGTAGAGGAAGTGAGGGGGGGGGGAAATGTTACTCATTATTTTTAAAGAAATTGTATTTTTTTTTAAAATGGATATTCATCTTATAATATAATTTATCAAAGAAAAAAAAACAACAACAAAAAAACTCGCTAACTTAAATCAACTTTTTTGTAGGTTAAAAATAATTATTTACAATATATTATTAAACACGAATTCTTAAAAAACAAAATTGCTGAATTACTAAAAGATGAAAGAATAACTAGACAATTCTGAATCGACCCAAAATGAGTTAAGAGGTCTTTGTGTAATTTTACATGTTAATTTTAAAAATGAATTTCATTTTGATTAAAATAACCAATAAACAATTTATACTTAAGACATTTTACAATATATCTCAAAAACACATATTATGTACATTCCACAATGTTCTAAAATGTTTATTTTTTTTAAAATAAAAGAATTGTTAATGCGTCTTTTGTGTTTTTTGATCATCATGTGTTTAGCATGAGTATTGGCAGTTTAATGGGATTTTTAGACGTCGCATACATCAAACAAATTCAAATAAGCCATCTTGGAATGAAAATACATCGGTCATCTTGTATAATGACGTGATCCAAAAAAACAGCAAAAAACAAAACAAAAAACCCAACAAAAATCATGTCGGGTACAGACATCTTGATTATCCATTATAGCCGGGAAACTCCATTCAAAGAAAAATCCCAGACTAAATTCAAAATACCAGTGTACACCTAAGAATGTTATAGATATTCTGATCGTACATTGACTCACCGAGTGCTTTGCTGATTTCAAATTTTGGGGAACAATAAAATGACAAGACTTTTAATGCTGAAAACAATTTGTGCTATGCAATGAAATCAAATTTCCGTTTTTTGTGACTCATAAATAACAGTATATTATATTACATTATATTATACTATATGAATAATTTATTAGATAATATGAAATAAGAATATATCAGTTTTTTTTTTTTTAATTATCCAAATAAATGGAAATTTGTTTAGATTGCATCTTGATACAATGTTAAAGTAATATATAATTGAGGATAACTTACCATCATGAATTGTAAAGTTATATACAAGTGATGGGCTTACACCATTTGCAACGATAAATGCATACGTTGCGAAATCATCATCATTTAACACTGTAAATGACAAGTTTATAGAGCCAAAAGGAGGGGTGTCTTCTTGATAACTAACTTCGTATCCAGTAGCAAAAGCATTCCACCCTGTAACATCAAAACTGATCTCGGTAGCGTTGCTCTTTATGATACCGTAGTAAATAGGCTTTGGATATCCGTAGATGTCGATTAATATAGCAACCAAACTGCCAATGTGTGACTCTAGTTGTGTGGTTACATTTGCGATGAGCTGCTTCAAACGAATGGGACCTATAAAGGCAGCAAGAAATTTACATCGCAACTAGTAGATAATTAGATTTTATGTACGTCTGGAATAATAAATAATATCTATCTATCTATCTATCTATCTATCTATCTATCTATCTATCTATCTATCTATCTATCTATCTATCTATCTATCTATCTATCTATCTATCTATCTATCTATCTATCTATCTATCTATCTATCTAT